AGCAAGTAGTAGATGAGCCAAGACTTGAAGACAGACATTTTGGCTTTATGCTATATTATCCCTAAGGATATAGATGTTTTCCTGTCTTCCATGGTATCCATCCCCAGAGCACTCCCTTTGGAGAAAAACTCTTGGTTCTACTAAACAAATTAACTGACAAGAGCCCAGGCTTCTTCTTTTTGTTGGGTTGGGCTATCATAGGTATTGCTCCTCAAATGTAGGTGTAAATTATTATTTTTTTCTTTATTGCTATGAGAGAGAGAGGAAGGGAGAGGGAGAGAGAGAGAAACATTGATGAGAGAGAACATTGATTGGCTGCCTCCTGCATGCTCCTCACTGGGGATCAGGCCCACAACATGGGCATGTGCCCTGACCGGGAATCGAACCGGCAACCTCTTGGTGCATGGGTTGATGCTCAACCACTGAGCCGAACTGGCCGGACAATATGGGTGTAAATGAAAGACTGGAGAGTAGTTCCCACTTGGGTGGAGTAGATCTAATTATGTATGTTTGTTGGGGATGGTCAGTTATGCTGGGGAGGAGAGGAACATTGGCCCAAGCTCTCTGAATAAGATACTGTATATTTCTGGTATATTTCCATTCGTAAACTGATGATCAGGATGCTCGTCTTCCTTAGCTGAACAGGTGAGACTGAGGCAGAAGGGCAGCCAGGCCATCAGTGGAGTGATGTTTGATACACTGTGCCTGTTTTCCTTCAGGCTGAATTCTTGTGCTTGTTTCCCAAAGGTGCCATAAGAGAGTATCACAGATTGGGCACCATGACAGCAATGTAATTTCTTAACGGTTCTGGAATCTGGAAGTCCGAGATCAAGATGGTGGTGGTGGTGGCTCCTTCAGGCCACGGAGAAAGGACCCATACCCAGCCTCTCTCCTTGGCTTGGAGATGGCTGTCTTCTCTCCATGTCTTCACATCATTTTCCTTCTGAAGATGTCTCAGTCTACATGTCCTCTTCCTACAAGGACACCAGTTACATTAGATTCAGACCTACCCTAATGACCTCATTTTAATTTAAAGACCACATCTCAAAAGATGGTCACATTCTGAGGTTCTGAGGTTTAGGACTTCAACATACAGACTTTGTCGGGGACACAGTTCAGCTCTTAACATCCCTACAGCAGCAGATATACCTCACTTCACAGTGTTTCTGTTACCCTGAAATAAGGCATATACATTGGCTAAGTGGTAAGGGACAAATGAGTCATGAGTTAATTTTGGTGCATTTTAGGGGAGTTGGGATTACCCTGTGAGTTGAGAAAATACATAAAGTGATTAAGACGTGAAAAGCAGTGTCTGTTCCTGGTCCTGGGTTCCAACTAAGTGGTCTTTGAGGAGTCGTCTGAGAGCCTGTGGAAGTTGTCCCCTAAGTCATTGTGTTAACCCAGATGCAGGATGCTTGGTTCAGGGAGGCTTTTTTTGGTTTTCTTTTCCATGTGCAACGTGCTCCCTTGTCTTCTCCTGGTCCTTAGCCCAGCAGTGTTGGTTGTGCTCAGTGGTAAATGCTTGGACTTGCTTCTATTGATATAAACCCCCCAAATCTCAGTTTAGATACAGAAGTTCGTGTGGACAACTGGCTCTTCACTCTTCACTGATGTCGGAGATCTCTCCACAGCATTAGCCAACCTAAGGCACTTAAAGTCGCTATAGGAAAGACGTGGTAAAATCATGTATTCTGTCTGGACCAAGTAGTTACAGCCTCTGGTGTTACTGGAGTGAGTCACCGACTTTGGAAGTCAGTGAATGAGGAACAGTTCTGGCCCGAATGCAACTCTAAAAGTTACCAGTTTTCCATGCTTCTTATTGCCCATCTTTACTCAACAACTTTTCTTTACTCGCTCAGTGCCCTTTGGCTTTTTGATGGCCAACAGTGGTTCAATATTCCCCGGATCCTCCCAGCCACCTTTCCCTAATGAGAGCAGCTGCTTCAAACCTGAGAGGCCTTTGGGCTTACCTGACATCTGTAATATAACACCCTTTATATCACCAGCTCCTCTGGAATGTCTCCAGTGATGAGACATCCAATGCCTTGGGAAACATCTCATTTCATGTTTTAAGAGCTTCAATTTTTATAACATTCTCCTTTTTGGGAACTTGATGTTTGTTCCACCTGAATGTCCTGCATTGTTCCTAGTCTGCTCTTGGTCAGTCATACTCAGTTGAATCCATCTTCCACTTGATGGTCATTGCACACCTGACGACAGCTAGTGTGCCTGGCCTGAGTCTTTTGTGCCTGAGGTTAGATAAGACCCTAGCTGTCATCTGCCACCATGGTTTTAGGTGCCATATTTGTCTTTTTATTATTTGGGCCTCAATTCTCTGAGATGATCCTAATGGATTAACTATTAAACTGTGCTGGGATTCCTTCTTTCCTTTCAGGGCCTAGGTCGAATGTTACCTTCTCCATGAAGCCTTCCTTGATGTTACTCAGATACCAGGCAATTAGCAACTTTGTTCTTGGTGTTCTCATACCACCGTGTGTTACTTTGCTGTAACACTTACCACAGTGCATCACAACTATTGACTGGCATTTTCTCTCTTTGCTATATTATGACCCTATCTTTGAAAAAGGACTAGGTCTTTTTCTTTACAGTATCTTCTATTCCTGGCTCAGAATAGGGGATTTATGTTTATTGGTTGCTTTGTTGATCCAAGAAACCAGAGTTCAAATTCCGGGTATCACAGCTGTTCAGAAAAGGAGATAACTTTGTTCTGGGAAATTTTTGATGGTTCTCAGATTCCTTTGAGGAAAGTCGTGGTTATTTATACTTAAATGAGCCAGGCCAGGCCGAAAGATTGTGGGGATCACAGGGTGCAGCGTGGCGCAGCACTGAGACCCCCCAGATGCTCCTGGACATTCCAGCGCCTGTCACAGCTTGCAGCCCCAGTGTCAAATTACCTGGTGCCCCCAAACCTCACTCCAGTTAATGAGGCTTGTCATTAAAAAGCTGTCTTTTTCCCTCTCAGTGGGGAGTAACTGAGCATAAGGCTTGTTTTGTTGGTTTTCTAAGATGAAGCTTGGAGGCCAGTGTTAGCATGGAAAGATTTCCCCCAGAGAAAGAAACAACCACAATGTGTGTGCTCTCTCCGAAGACACACACTGTCAAAGTGGAACTATGGTCAGCTTGCTCTAGCATTGGCTCGCTTGCTGATGTTATGTAAATGTTGCCCTGGGTGTCTTTTAATTCCTGAATGCACTCGGGGCAGGTCTCAGACCTTGCTGAGATAATCTTCCTTCTCCAACCAACAAACAAGGCTCTTGATTAAAATATGTCCTCCTAGGCCTGGGACGAGTTTGTTCTGTTCCTTTTCTCACCTTTCCTCTCAGGTGGTTCCTGCTCATCTACTTAACCCAGAGAATAGTCGCTATAGAACGATCACACCTTCTTCAAGGGCAGAATATTCAAACTTAGCTCTCGCCCTCATCTGTGACCAGTTTTTATCACTTTTGTATTTTATCATTTTGACTGAGTTCAGTATCTGAAAGGTGGCCCAGTGGTTTATAAACCCCAAGACTTCCCAACAACCCAGCTGTTGAGATGCTATTCCAAGGGGGATGTTCTTCTCCTTTAGGACCTGATGTGACAGTTCCTATCATAATTTAGCATGTTCATTGAAGGTAACTTTGCAGGGTTGCCTCACTTGTCATTGGGCATAGCTTGAAAGCAAGCTCTCAGGAACAAATAAATGCAGTCAGCGTTTTCCCATTTTAAGTGGGGTGGGAAGCGTATTGGGATGGTCATGGCAGATACCCTGAAAGCTTAAGTCTCCGTCTGTGGACCACGTAGGAGGGATTGCAGCCTCACTGTCTACATTCCGAACATCTAGTGAGCAGCATCAGAAAAATTTCAGAGAGAGAAATATGAAAAATGAAATGAAGTCACTCATTGATGCTTGAAGTAGATTATTTAAAAAGTAAAATCACTTTATAATAAATCTTTGGAATTTAAACTTACTTATATTTTCGTACTGGAATGGATAGTGTTGTTCAGGAAAAAGCTCCACTGCGTGGATAGCTCACCTGGGACATTGCTCTAATTATAGATGGCCATTGTTGCAGCGACCCAAATAACTACCTCAAACCTGAGGCACAGAACCATACGGGAGACGGAATCTGGACGTGGAAATGGCCCGAGATGCTGCAATCTTGTTAGACCTGCCCAGTGCTTAGGGGTGTCTGTGAGGCTGGAAGTCCCCTGGAGGGGAGGACTCTGTACAAGCCCCTCCTTGTCCACTAGTAAACAAGACATGTCTGTTAAGAGCTTGAGGCGCTCATGCAGGGGATGCTGCAGTCAGGAGGGGAAGGTGGGGTCAGGGGGGGCATCACTGGGTGGTTAGTGCAAATGCAGTTGTCAAGGGAAGGAGAGAGGGTGTTGCTTAGCATTGGACTCGTGTATTCCAGATGTGGGCATTTGGTAGTCAGTCTGCTCCAAAGTGACATGCTGCTGAATCTTTAAAGGGCTGCAGCCAGGGAGAGCAAAATCTGATTGGGCAAATTGCTAAAATATTTAAAGTGCAGCCTGTTAAAGCTTTTACTGCGAGGAGAATCAAGTCAGAAGTTGTAGGCAGAAAGAGCGAGTAATTGGCTTTCCATCCTATGCCAGTCAGCATGAGACCGTTCCCATTCCTTCCTCTTCATTGCCAGTGCTAATCACAGCCGTGCGCCGGAGAGACTGGGCAGCTGGTAAAATGAGAGGAGGACGGAGAGTGAGCTATTCATAAAAAGGGAGGCCAAGTCCACAAAGAACGTGAAGGCCACTGTAGAAAAGGGGACTGGGAGGAATGACAGATTTACTGCCTGACAAAGGCCACCTGCACTTCCAGCGGTGGTGGTTTGGGGCAGTCGTCCTTCAAAGGGTGGGTTTTGCAAGCACAGGGCTGGCCTTCGGTGACAACCTTTCATCTCCTCCGAGTATAATTCGGCCACTTTTCATTTATAATTTATCACACTTTCCACTTAGGTTCCCTGTCCTTTTCTCCCCAGGCATGACCCCTTGTTAATTCCCGGCAATGATCAGATCGACAACATGGACTGCAACGTGAAGAAGTATGACTCTACCGGGATGTTTCACTGGTGCGCACCCAAGGAGATCGAGAAAGTCATCCTGGTGAGTGGCAGGCTGCGGAATCGGCCCTCTACTTCTGTCTCAGACTGCATTTGCTGGGAATGTGCTTTTCCTAGCTGGGTGGTGGATAATACAGTCCCTGGGCCTAATTACTTTCGATGATTAAAATTCAGGACACATATTGGAGCAGCTAGAACTCTCATCAGAACATGAACTGAGAGTAGAATTTTCTACCTCTGAATCTTTATTGGCTCATTACAATAGGATTGCACGCTGTTTGAACAGCATCATGGGAGGCCATATGTACCATACCTTCTGTGGGTGTGGCCCTGGGGCCAGAGTCTGCCTCTGCCTTTTACTAGCTACATGGCCTTGGACGAGTCACTTGACCTCCTTGCTCTTCAGTTCTCTTGTCTGTAAGAGAATGAGATGAGAATAACCGTAACTCATAGAGTTGTAGTAAAAACTGAAACCCAATATATGGCTCTAATTACCAATTATTATCTTTTTATTAAACAAATTTTTTTCTTTATTGATTTTAGAGAGAGAGGAAGGGAGAGAGGGAGAGAAATAGAAACATTGATGAGCGATTGGCCGCCTTTTGCGTGCCCCCCCACTGGGGATTTGGCCCTCAACCTGGGCATGTGCCCTGACCGGGAATCAAACCTGCGACCTCTTGGTGCATGGGTCGATGCTCAACCACTGAGCCACACTAGCTGGGCTATCATCTTTATTACTATTAAAAGTCATAAGAAATCTGAATACTGCCTGTATTATTATGTATTTATGACATAAATATTGTATTCATCTAGGTAATAACATTGCGTATTTGTGATCCTTCTTAGCACAAAAAGTAGACAAAGAGCTGATAATGACAGTGGTGAACCATGGGTCATCTTGGGAAGGCGGGTGCTCGGAGCCCTATTTCTTGGTTGGGTCACCTCTGTAGCAACCATGGCTTCCTCTAGTTTGTCCGGGGTGTGTCAGCATAGAGAACAATCCATTCTGCTCGTTAGACTTGCCCTGTTAACAGTGTTAAGTTGTAATGCCTGCATCAGCTTTCTCTCAGTTTCCTGTCTCGCCAATTCATGGAAAATGGATTAATAATCATAAGGTTCCTCGCTGGCCGGTTTGACTCAGCGGTTAGAGCGTCAGCCTGTAGACCAGAGTCTTGGGTTCAATTCTGGTCAAGAGCATATACCTCAATTGCAGTTCAGTCCCTGGCCCTGGTCTGGGTCATGCAGGGGACAACCAATTGATGTATATCTCTCACACTGATGTTTCTCGCTCTCTCCCACTCTGTCTGAAAATAAATGGAAAATATCCTTGGGTGAGAATTAAATTAATAATAATAATTGGAAAGTTCCAATGGAAGGTTCCTTCCTTCCTTGTGCCTCTAGTCCCCAGACGGCGTTGCCTGCTCCCTTGTGCCAGCCAGGAAACCCCCGTCGTTTCTGCCGTCGCAGCCACCCTTCCTGAGAAAGAGCTGCCCCCGCTCCTCTAAGTGGCTGTACCCCAACCCACTAGAATTTTTCCCGTGTTCTATCTGAATGTGTGTGTTTTTCAGTTTAATTGTAAACAACTCTTACCAGCCAGCACAGCACGGTGCTGGTCTCTGGGAGGCTGTGGACACAAGCATGGAAAGGCAGGATTCAGGAGACAGCGTTGTCCAGCTCCCCAGCAGAACAGGGGGGCTCATCACCAAGGTGCTTCGTGTTTACACCCTGACGTGTTCCCTGCATCTTTGCCCTGGTCATCTAAACTCGCCCTGTTCCCACCTGTGGCAGGGCAAAGGCCAAACGCCATTGCTGGGACCCAGGGTTTTAATAAACAACAGACATCCAATCAAAGTGCCCTGCTGGCATGAAAGGGTTTGGGGAGACGAGTTACTACTTTCTCATCTGAAAAATAACTCATTAACAAGACTTTGAAGTGCAGGCACTGCTCTCTGGCTGGGGTGCAGCCTCTGACATCTGCTCTCCCAGAACTTGTCTTTCAGTGGGGGCCAAGCGAGGGCCCCAGGTGGACAAGTGCATATACAACATGTCAGATGTTGAAGAAAACAAAGCAGGGTCATGGGCTAGAAAGGGACCGGCAGGTGCTATTTAGACAGTGTGGTCCAAGAGGCCCCCTCTAAAGTCACACTGGAGCAGAGATGAGAATGCTCAGAGGATGCTTTGTGGTGTGTGTGCCCTGACGGCTTTGGTGTAGGAAATGATCATCTAATTGAAGAGAAGACATAAAATATAACTATGAAACAATATATTGAAAGCTACATGTCAAATGCTACTATTCAGATCTAGGGGTGAAGACTGGCTTGTATTTAAGTGGCTAGGGAGCCCAATGGGATGCAAACAGGCTGTGCTCGGAGGGTTGAGGCCCCTGAGGCCCGGCTTGGGTCAGGCCGTGAAGCATGCGTGGGAGACACAGGATGCACACGAGTCCAGTGGGCCTTAAACCTGTCTGCATCCGATTCTCCAGGGCCGAGGTCCAGGAATTGAGATCGCTCCAGGCTCTCAGGTGGTGTTCAGGCTGATCTAAGGATTGGTGTGTTGGTCCCATGTCTAAGCTTCTGGGGTCAGCTGTGCCCTGGCCACTCTGTAACGGGTGCCTCCTCCACCTCCTTATTCTGGATTCCCGGCCCCTCCTCTGGACTGAGTTTGGATTCTTCGGGCTTGATGAAGGGAGCTAGCTCCCGGGTGATCTTGCCATTGAACATACTTAGTAGCCTCGTAGCACCTGCCAGACGGACCGCCCTGTCGGTGGGACCTGGGCACACGCTCTGCCATGCAGCCACAATAGCCAGCTCCACGAGGTGTGGTGTGGGCTGCCTCTCCGTCTGCTTATGAAGCATTGCTTACAGCCTGTCTTCCATGTTCCTGGACTGTCGCAGAGGGAAACCGGTAGTGTAACAGCCCCTGTTTGATTCTAATGATCAGGGAGTGAAAGCTAGCTTCTCCTTCTCCTCGGGGGTTACGTTAATAACCCTGACATTGTCGTGAATTGCAATATTGGCCTTAAACAATCAATACGCGGTCACTTCTAGGGATCACTTGGAGCAGAGTTTGATGTGTGCAGTGGGCATTAATATGCCTCCCCAAAAGCACTGTAAGCCGCATAGGGCTATCCAGGCTTTCAGTGGGTGGGCAGGGAAGGAGGAAGGCAAGATGGGAGGTACTGGGCCAGAAGGAGAGGCAGACAGAGGCCCACAGCTGGTCTTGTGGCTCTTCACCAGCACAGTGAGCAAAACAGCCAGCAGTGGCAAACATTTGCATTTCTGGGGAAGCGCTTGTCCTCCTCGGGGTGGGGGGTGGGGGATGGGGGTATTTGATTCTATTATTCGTCTCCTTTGTAGATACAGGACTAGGGTTAGGCAAAGACACAGGCTGTCATTGCTCCAGCTGAACTAGCTCTAGATCTTTTTTTCCCAATGATTTTTTGGAAATCTTTCTCTGGTGACTTCTGCAGGTGAGCTGCTCCAGGCGTGCTCCCCAAGGCCGCGGGGGCCAGGGCTCAGCTGTGAACAGTCATGTAATGAACCATGTAGGTTTCGTCGGCTGCAGCGTCCAGTCACAGCTATCAACCCACTCTGCCATTGCAACGGAAAAGCAAGCACTGGCCGTGCTACATGAGCAAGACTGGCTGTGTTGCAATCAAATCTTATTGGAACTTATGGGAAAATTATAAGAAATTCAAATTCTAGTAAGATTTTATTGCAACACACCCATATTGTGAAACAGTCTTCTTTTGATTTTTTCCCCCAACCATTTGAAAATGTAGAAATCAATATTAGCTCACCAGCCATGGCCATACAAAAGTTGGTGGTGGGAGGATTTGGCCTGCGGGCCATAGTGTGCCAATGCCTGGCTTAGGGTACCACCTGTTGATGCAGTGACAGACTTGTCATCTCACAGACAAGTCTAGAACTCGTAATTCAAATTCATTGAGACCAGCGTAGGATCTGACCATTTTATCCTCATCTCAGCAAGCAGGCAGAAAACACAGCTCATTTTTTAAAAATCCTCACCTGAGGATATATGTTTTATTTTATTTTATTTTATTTTATTTTATTTTATTTTATTTTATTTTTAATTGAATTTTAGAGAGAGAGGGGAAGGGAGAGAGAGAGAGGGAGAGAAACATTGATCAGTTACCTCCCATATGTGCCTGGAGCAGGGATCAAACCCACAACCTAGGCATGTGCCCTGACCAGAAATGAACCCAAACCTTTTGGTGCGTGGGACACTCCAACCAACTGAGCCACGTGGCCAGGGCGAAAATGCAGATCATTTTATCAGCAATTTAATAGAAACTGAGGCTTCCCTTTCCAAATAACATAAATATTGTTGTTCCCTCTGATTTGCCCTCTGAAAATCATTATGAAGGATCTGCTCATATGCCTATAGGGCATATCTTTTTAAAATCTTTACTCAAAAAAGGAAGTGATTCGTGTGGATGTATGTTTTGATATGTTTATTATACCAGTGTAATATATGCACACATACTCAAATGATAAATATATATGGCATATTGAAATAAAAATAATAGCATCTAATAACACAGTAAGAACTCAGCACATGCTCACTCGATCCTCGACACTCAGGCTTTCCTGTGAGGTCTTCGCGCATGCTCACGTGTTCCTCCCTGTTGCAGACTCGCAGTGAGGCCGCCATGACCGTCCTCAGTGGCCATGTCGTGGTCTGCATCTTCGGCGATGTCAGCTCCGCCCTGATCGGCCTCCGGAACCTGGTGATGCCACTGCGCGCCAGCAACTTCCATTACCACGAGCTCAAGCACATCGTGTTTGTGGGCTCCATTGAGTACCTCAAGCGGGAATGGGAGACGCTTCACAACTTCCCCAAAGTGTCCATATTGCCTGTAAGTCCAAGGTCACGTTATTGACGGGTTTTTTTCTTCCTTTCATTCACAAAAGAAAATCCCAGGTGGATATAATAGTCGTAGCTTTGATCATGCCTCTGCTTCTTTATCTGGTTATGGGCCTGAGGACTCAGCCCTTCTCTCTGCTCTGTCTGGGAATATCCAAACCCTGGGGACCTTATTAAAAGGAATCCGCAACCCGGTTCATTCGCTCATCAGACATGAAGTGTAGCTGGTATCAAATGCATTAACCATGTCAGTGTCTACCCAGACCCAGTGCTGTTCGATATTATGATGCTTAGAGCGGAATTTACTTATGGAACTATTTATATCATTTTATTTATGCCATTATAAATGCTTGGGGAAATCTCGATTGTACCACATTCTGTTTTTAACTAAATGTATTTAACAGAGCTCTTCACTTATTTTTGCTGTCCGAAGCTGCTCTCTTGTGCTGGTCAACATCTACCCCTGACTCATGTAGCAGCCCAGCACTGTTTTCCTGGGTTCGTATGTGAGCCCACACATGCGTGGCTGCTACCCAAATCTGACAGGAAAGTGTGGTGTCCTACAGCTCAGTGTGAGGACAGGGTGCATGATCTATGAGTCATGTAACCAACTATTCCTAATCATTAACTAATATATTTGCAGTGATTTTCAAAAGATTGTATTGTACATTTGAACATTTGATACAGTTCTTTGTGTCACAAATCCATGCAAATATCACTTATTTTCACGAAGTTTTCTTGGAAGTTCACATCCATAAAATTGGGGGACATGAATTTGATGCTACATTTCTAGAGGGCTGGATTTATTCCCACTTATGGAGCTGAAATTCTTTATTTCTATTGTCAGCTTCCAGAAGCTCAAAAATGGAAAAATATAGTGAGGTATCATAATTCAATAAACAACACAAAAGAGTCTACCCCACAAGTAATATTCATTAGTAGCCTCCATTGTTTCTTACATATGCTGGGCACAATAGGTGCTCAGTAAATATTTAAAGAGGTGAGAAAAATATAGACAGATATCATTTGGATGCTGCACCAAAAACTCACTGATTTAATAAACATACGTAATTAAACAAATAGTCATTCACACTGAAGAGTGTAAACATATATACACCTTGCTAATTTCAGACATCATCGATTTGATTCTATTTTTCCACGATTATCTTCCTACAAGTGATGTTATACATAGTCCCCTGGGAGTACACGGACTGGGTCTAAAAGGCCCTGTAAGGAGCTAATGTTTTGCTGGGCTACATGAGCCTGTGTGTATGTGTGATGTTTGGGGTGTGTGTTTCCTTGTGCGTGCCCTTGTATACATCCACTCACCTGCCTACGTTTATATGAATGAGCTTATATATTTACAGGTCCTTTTCAAACACTCCAAAATTTAGCATACTCAAACACAGTATATTGGTACAAAATGGACCTTCTCTGTCTTCACATATTTCACTGTTCACACAATGCCTCGTAGGCCGGGCCAGCCCCGAGAAACACAAGGTGTTTCTATGTGTGTCATTTGCACTTCTTGAGTTTTGAAATCACCTGTATACAGCTTTGCAGGGATTGTCTTATGTCACAATTACTACTGGATTCCCCACAAGATGAAAATTAAAAGAATATGGATGTAGGCTACCGAGGCTCTGCCCTGGTGCAGTGATTCAGGAAGTTGGTCACACTTCTTCTGGACCGAGACATCCCAGGAACGGGGGATTCTTCTCCTCCTCTCAAGAGATGGGTGTCTGAAAAGAGTAGCTCCTCAGCCCCTTAGTACTAAATGCCTCTCCCTCCTTCATTCCACTTAGTGGCACTATTCTGGGGGCCGAGAATAGAGTCGTGACTGCTACTGAGTCATAAGAGAGGGTTGATGGCCTTGACCTCCGAAGCCAAGTCCAACCTTCTCAAAGCCCCTTTCTAGGAAGGAGAACCAGAGAAAGGGAACCAGAGATGGGAGGCAGATGGCAAAGCCTCTCCCTGCACAGTCAGTGGGGTGAAGGCTACTGGAGTCTCCATGCAGGCAAAACAGGGCTGGATTCTGGATGGAGAACCACAGAGGCTGGGAGCTGGGTGTGAACCCCAGAAGGATGTCCCTGGGAGCTCAGCTGTGGGATCGTCTGATGAGTTCTGCTGTGACTCAGGGCATTTGGGGTTCACATCCCTCACCTCCGACACTGACCCTCCTATGTCACCCGTGGTGGCCTTCCTGGCCTCTCAGCCATCACCTCCTTGGTCTGCTTTTCCTCCCACTATATTGTTGTTTTAGGACTTTAAAAAATCTGTTTACTGGCTTATTTATTTTTAATTACACCAGTAATATACAAACACATTACAAAACATTCGAATAATACAGAAGTTTGCAAAGTCAAAAACAAACTTTTCCCTTCACTCCCAATGTTATTCTCCTCCCCAGAGGTAATTGCTGTGATTGGTTTAGTGTGAGCTGTCCCTGAACTTTCTCTCTTGAGTGTACATACACTTATAAATACATTCACAAGTATATCGTTGTATTGTGTGGGTTTCCTTTCATATAAATGAAATCCTACTTTTCAAATTGTGTAGAACGTGCTTTTTATATTTTTCCACGCATTTTTCTGTTCGAGTTTCTTCCAGGGCGATGCCCGCAGGTTGAGCTGTTTCAGGCTCTTTGCTGGCTTCGTAGACGCCCATGGTATATATGCCCCATAGTGTGTTTAACCACTCCTACGTTGTTGGACAACTAGGCGATTTCCTTATTTTTTCTGCTGAAAATGTGCAATAAAATGATAGGACCTGAAGCTTCCTTCTCTCCATCTCCCCTTTGCAAAGTGCACATGAACTGCACTCCCTCCCACATCCTCCAGGTGGAGCATTGTCGCAGCCCCACCTCATGACCACACTCGCTGGCCATTCCCCTTGGCTGCTCTGGAAATTCTCCTTGGAGCTGATGTCTTTTGCTTGTGACAGAAGTGACCTGTTATTAAATAAACAGGCACTTGAAACCCACCCTCTCATTACATTCTGAAAGCCAGAGGTTGCCACAGGACAGTTACTTAAATCAAGACGATTTCCAGGCAGGAAGAAGATGTAGAACCCTGGCATTATCCCTCCCTGGTTTGTTAGTAATAGCTTGATTGAGTATTGAGAGCAAGCCTAAAATGCTGCCATCAGCACTGACTACCCTTTAGATTAGCACACAGCTCCTATTCCCCTGAACGTAGTTAGGCCAGCTTAATGTCAAGGCATAAAAAAAGATACTTGTTAAATAATTTCCCAGAGCTCCAGCGCAATCTTTAATTTGTTTTTATTTTTTCCCTCTTTCCCTCTCGTCCCTCAGTCTCACTTTTGCTTCTCCTTGTTTTTTTTATTTCTTTCCTCTATGCCAAAGGGTACACCATTAAGTCGGGCTGATTTAAGGGCCGTCAACATCAACCTCTGTGACATGTGCGTTATCCTGTCAGCCAATCAGAATAATATTGATGATACTTCGCTGCAGGACAAGGAATGCATCTTGGCGTCACTCAACATCAAATCTATGCAGTTTGATGACAGCATCGGGGTCTTACAGGCTAATTCCCAAGGTAAGGACAGGCTGTAATACTCCTCTCCTCTGCCTACAGGGGACAGGGGCTGGCAAGAGGGATATCCTTCACTCAGTAATTCAAAGAGGCTCGCGTCAATCTGCCTGGCAGTGGAACCAGCAGTCACTGCGACACTGTTCAAAGGGGCATTGCTGCCTCTTCTTGCCATCCCGGGTGCAGGCTTGAAGAGCCACACACAGAAGAGGCTGTCTTCCCAGAGAACGAACCGGCCTTTAGCCCCCAACCCCCCAGTCTTCCCAAACCAGGGTCACCAAGTAAATGTCAGAGCAGGGGGAAGACTCTGGCTGAGCAATGCCCAGTGTTTCTCCCCAGAATGTGTCTTTGCCATTGACCTGCACTAAGTTTTGCTATTGTTACAACTGCACGGGTTAGTTAAGCTTTAAGTTATTATATGCTGATCCAGGGAGGTGACCCCTGAAGAGGGGACTGCATGGGCACTGAAAGCCATTGAGCAAGAGGTGGTGCTCGTCCACCTGTGCCTTCCCCACGGGAGGCACAGCGGCGCCAAATGACGACATCCGCCGTCCGCTCTGCCGTCTGCCCTGTCATTGTCTCCAGATCCTGGGCAGACAGCCGCAAGCAAAGATGTCATCCAGGAGGCTCAGGCAGGCAACACAGCAAAAACCCCATGACAAACAGCCTCACTAATCTGGGCCTCAGGGTGTGAGGCATCCCCCCCACCCCCCACCCCCCAAAAACACCTCTGTGTAGGCTTGCCCTGAACTGTAGGATTCTTGTCATATGTGGCCTACTGGACGGGTGACATTGGGTGCCTGATGGGAGTGTGACACCCATCACTCCAGGATCAAACTAGAGGGAGCACAGCCCCTGAGAACTATTACTGCCGGGACATAAACACCATCCTATGACGTGCTAAAGCTCGGCTCCAAGCGGCCTAGACCTATGCGCTACGTTATCTTTTGTCAACTCAGCACCACCACCACCTCCTTCTAACATCTGCTGAGGTTGTTGAGAGGCCAGGAACCACAGTTCCCAGAATCCTTTTCCTTGCATGGTTCTGGGCTGGATTCGGCCAATGAGACAGGGGTCCTGGGAGAGATCTGAAAACTAGAAGAGAAAGAGAGGCAGCTGCAGCTAGACCCTGCGCGGATGTGGGGTTCAAAGCAGATCTTAGGGGAGCCTTCTAAGAACCGCTGGCTTTGGTGCTAAGGACTGAGACGGGGGTGCGGGCTTCTCGGGGGGTCTGGGATTCATGACATCTTCTGGTGAAGCTCAGGAGAACCTTCTGTGTGGTGTTGCAAGTGGTGAATGGTGGCCTAGTTGACTGGCTCCGACAGCCTTTCCAATGGTGTCAGCCTCTGTACCTTGGAATAGAGTGGCTTCTGCTCTTCGCATAACCCTGGTGGGTACAGCCCAAAGCCCAGTTTTGGCCTCTCTACTCCATCACCCTCTACTTCTCCTGCAAATCTCAGTCTCGGTGCCCACTTACTGAGCTGTGCCCGCAGGGCAGAGCAACGTCCGGACCACCTCTTACCTACCCAGCTGCATTCCGGGGGGCAGGGAGTGGAGGTGACCCAGGCTGTGAGGGGACAGTAAGCTGGCCCCCTAGGAGGTGGACAAGGCCCACTAGAATGTAGTTCCTGCCTCTGAGTACTTGTTCTTCAGCGCAGGTCCTCTCACACCAGCATGGGCACCACCAGGGGCCTGGTTAGCAATGCAGAACCTCATGCCCACCACAGACTACAGGCTCCCAGGTGACTCCTGAGCACTGCGTTAAGGCACAGGGAGTCTTCACGCTAGCAAACCCAGGTCCCTTGAGCATGCTGACCACCTCTCCTCCTGGCAGGAAGCGCCCGGGGAAGGGAAAGAGTGCCCCCTGTGGGTGGGGGGACTGAGCAGAGGGTGGGAAAACACCCCTCCCCCCAGTATGCCTAGTTCCTCCCAGTTCAATCATTGTGATTTCCAGGTCCATGGATCAAAATATTAATGTACAATTTAGTTATACAATTGAACAGCAGAGGTTTGAACTGCATGGGTCCACTTATATACGATTTTCTTTTTCAATAAACACATTCAGTACTGTAAATTATTTCCTCTTATGGTTTTCTCAATAATGTTACTGTAAGAATACAGTATATAATTACATGTGTAATATGTTTTAATTGACTGTTTATTTTATTGATAAGGCTTCCAGTCAGTAGTAGGCTATTAGTAAAGTTTGGGGAGGGTCAAAGTTACATGTGGCTTTTCAATTGCATGAGAGGTCAGCACCCCTAACCCCTGCATTGTTCAAGGTTCAGCTGTGTACACATCTGACATAGGTGTCCCTTCAGCTCTCACAACCCTTATGCCAGCCTCTTAGATCCTCTGTGATGGCCATAGGGGTAACAATGCTTCCTCTCCCCTTCTCAGATACCCACCCATAGCTCAAAGGCTGCCTGTACTATGTTTAGCACAGAATAAGCAAGAAAAATAGATTTTGATGGGAGATAAGGAAGAGAGGGGAAGGGAGTTCATTTTTCTTGCAAAAAAAAAAAAAAACACAAACAAAAAGAGAAGGGGCCTTCTTTTGCACAAGTACACACATGCTCGAGGATGCCAGAGGGTGTGCTCTATGGGGAGTCACAGGTCCCTGGTCCCCCAGTCACCAGGAGACTGCCTTTTCTGCCCTCAGTGAGAGGCTGCGGCAGCTGTGGGCCCAGCAAGCCCACGTTTCCCTCCTTTTCTCGCCGTGTCTGCTCTTCTCTTGTCCTGGGTTTCTAACTGTTCTCCGGTGACACTCTGCCCTTCCCAGCAGCAGTGGTTGCAGTGGACATCCACACGGGAAGTCACTTCTTCCCCGAGGGGCAGGCTTTGCAAGTTCACCCCTCCTCGGGGCCATCCCAGCCTGTGGGGCCAGGTGGATGAGCTGAGCTTCCCAGACACTGTCCCTCCATGAGACCCTTGACACCTGGAGTGCTCACTGGACTCAGACACGTTCACTACCCTTCACCTGGGCATTCGGGGCGCTCTGGGTGGACTGGGATTGCAGAGTACAACCTGTTACCCTTTCCTTTTGGGAAACAAATATAGCCTCCCCCAAGTGAAAATTACATAATTTCTGGCCACTGCCACCCAGTTGTCCTCACTAGTTGTGCTGTAGTCCTCATGGAACCCGTTCGCTTTGTCCTGAGAGCTTCATTGGCACCTGTCCAGAAGGCAGAGGGCAGAAATGTGGACTCTGGACAGATGTGTGTGCTCTTGCACGGCGTATTCATCCTTGTGGAACTTTCCTTGTGGAGAGCTTTTCTCTCATGATACAATGTAACGTAAGAAATGTGTCCTAACACCGTGAAGGCAGAGTCCTCACTGGGATTCGTGTTCCGACAGTGACTGCCTGCTGCTTGTCTCCTAGACAAACAAAACTATTTTCCTAAACTCTTTCTCTTCACGTTCCTGTTGGGGTCACTGCTGTAGTCCACATGGTGTCAGAACTGACCCAGCCTAGGGATTCGGGACCAGACACTTTCTAAAATGATCTGAGATGTGATGGCTGGTTGTCAAAAACAATTACAGAGAGAGGTGGCATCCTCCATGCTGCTGGTACATCCGATGTGACAGTTGGGTCTATGAGATGCAGTTTTAATATACAGCGGGCAGGACTGCAGTGACAATTACATAAAGCAGGTGAAGCCACTTCTTGCTGGTCAGCAAACATCAGCTCAGAACCACTTTGCAGCTCTTCACCAGCAACTAAGTGCCTTTATTTACAGAGCGCCTGTCACTTCCCTTTGGCTGGAGAGCTGGTGTATTATTTAGCGCACATTTATCTGGGGAAAACATTTCAATTTAAATCAGCTGGTACAACAGTGGCTCTCGCCAGACGGCTTCCCTGTGGTTCTAAAAGACGGGAACTGAGTCTGATCTCGGGGGGAGGGCGAGCAGAGGAGGAGGGTTCATTCTCAGAGAGCCGGTGGAGTCAGCCCCTGAGAAGAGGGAGCGTGTGATTGGGTTTCCCATTACACGTTCATATCATTAGGAAAGGAGCATCTTACAGTTTCTCCCTGCTTACCCTTAACCCTGAAAGGAAAGAAAGAGGAAAACAATGAGTGCCCACTGTGTATAGGCACTATAAAGGCTCAGGACACAGACACAGAGATGACACGGTTTCAGCAACTTCCTGTCCTTGAGGTACTCGGGTGTGTGGAGGAGGTACCCCATAAACAGCTCTAACACATGAGACGAGGCCCAGGCCAGAAATACATGAGCAGAGAACTCCTCATTTTATACATTTCAAGGAGTAGAGAAGGCTTCCAAGAAGAGCTGACCTTTGTGACTGAGCTGAACACATGTGGCTAGTGTGACTGAAGGACTAACTTCCCTTTTATTTAATTTCAGTAAATTTACATTTAAATGACGGCGTGAGGCTAGTGGCTGCCGTATGGGACATTACAGTTCCACAGCATAGGCTTGTTGCTTTGCTAAGGGTCTGGATGTAGAGGGAGATGGTGATTAAATCAATCTTTTAGAAAGATAACAGGCAAAACTATGAGCATGGTTTAGAGGTGGAGAGAGATGGTGGCATGAGCCATCTAAGAAAACTACTGCGGTGGACTACAAGGGAGGGGATGAGGGAGGGCAGTGCAGGTTTAGTGACCTCAGTAGCTAGGGAAAGACAGCAGTTGAGATGGTGTTGAAACAGAAAGGATCGCCATTGAAGACCAGTTAGATGGGAAGGAGGGGGGTGAGCGGGGATGAGATACTGGGAATAAGTTTACTTCAAGGTTAGCTACAGCGTGGGTGTAAAGCAGTTCAGTAAGCAGAGGACCCAGGAGGAGAAACAGGATTGGGGCAGAAGGGAAAGAATTTGGTCCCAGTCCATTTGAGTTGGAATTATCTGTACTTCCAACTAGAAATAAGAACATGAGGCTATCGGGATAAAGTTAGGTTTGAAGTTATAGAGTTGGAAGCCATTGGTGATGGGCGGTGGAGAGGCTTTGAGAGTGGCCACTTCCCAGGGAGGCCAACGAATTAAAAAG